GTGCCTGAGAAACCTGAGAAACAGTTCATTCATCCATCCGATCTGGTCCACGGTGAGGAAATGGCCCAATGACCATTTCCCGTTATAAGCAGCTTATTTTCACTGATTGGACCTGGTTCCCTATCATTTCTAGAAACAGCTTCTGATACAGTCTGTACATGGTGAAGCTGTGAAGGAACCTGATGGTCTTTCTCAGGCTCTGGGAGACCGTTTTGGGGAAGTGGTACATTTTCAAGTGCTTCAGTGCGTGCATGAGGCCTTTCAGAGTGTCCTGGTCGCCGTTTTTGACCCTCCACAGGCTGAGCAGCTTCAGGATCTGTTCACCTGATGTGCAAGCCTTCGTCGTTTGCTCGATGTCTTCTGTGGTGACTTTCTTGCCTGGCAAGCTTTCCATCAAGCTGCAGAGCTGCTCGAAGGTGAGGTTCATGTGCCCGAGGTGCCGCTGCACGCTGTTTTCACAGAGATCTATATCTGCACAGAGCAAAAGCAGAGACAGCCACACCATGTTTATTCATTCTCCTAGTGACACCAAACTACGCTGAGGCAAAGGCAAGGGTAATCACTTTAACGATAACCTTTTCCTTTATGTTTTTGGGAGGAGAGGGGGAGACTTAAGTGGTGCTAGTTATTTCTGAGAACTGAGATGAATATTTCTATGTTATTGCAAGAGAATGTGCTATATATTCTAGGCATCTAACAAAGCTCTACTGTGGAAAATCACTAGTAGTAAAGTACAGGCACATCATTCTCAGTTTAAAAAAATAACATGTTTGAGGAATTAAAACCGTAACATTTTAGAGAAACAGAAAGCATTCATGTTAGTTATTTTGCAATATAAACTTCCTTTTGTTGATATCTGACGTATGTTTTAAAAGAGTTAGTTGCTTCAAATGGTCTTTAATAAATAGCATGAGAGGGTTACCACCACAGAGAAGATAATTTAAAAAACAGAGTAATGTGAGGCCAAGGAATGTGGTGTTACGCACACAGCCTGGAGAATATTTCCATAACGAGCTAGGACATCAACATAAGAGGGAGTAACTAATGTTTCTGTTAATGACATGAGTCATTTAGTATCTGAGCCCTAAGGCAAGTCAGTTCATCTTTCTGGGCTGAAATGTTCTGGTTTATAAAATAGGGATTTGGTCCTTTTCGATGCTAACAGTCTCTGATTCTCTACTTTCCTTTCTTTTTGCTTCAAGGCTAATTATACATTTTGTCTGCTGAAAACAGAAGGAAAGTTTACTCTTTGCACAAGTGGAACATTCAGCTCAAAAATGTTAGTCTCCTAACATCTCAGTTTCAAATGTTTGAGACCTTTGGAGTAGGGTCAGACTCCTTAATTGTTTTTACTACAGTGGAGAGGAGAATGAATTTCTCATTGCCATTGTCTGACTTGTGAAAAACTCGCTCTCATTGCTAATTAAATTCAGAATTCTTTCTGCTATATAACTTAAGGCTTAAGGTCCACACTGTATGAAATTTACTTTTACTATTGGATTAGCTCATCATCATCATCATCAACACACACACACATGCACACAGGTGCACACACATGCACACACAGACACTCACTTTCTAAAGGAGATTCTTTTGAAAACTCTAAAACATGGCTTTAACTAGCCCTTTTCTCCAAGAAACTCAAATACTTTTTATAGATCTTATCTCATTAATCCTCACAACATATGCTATTAAAATGGTAATTTTAAAATAGGCTATGTTGTGAGGATTAATGAGAGACTATCTGTAAGGCTCTGGGAGGCTCTCTAGAGAGAATTATCAAATAAATACAACAGAGATTCTTGGTAGAAATGCAAGGTAGGATTCAAAGTGGTTAAAGAACTTCTAGGAAGGTCAGAGAGAATGCTAATAAAACTGCTGAGGGATGTAAAGGCAGATTTCCTGAGGTCTAGCCCTGCACTTGAAATGCATTGTGGCTTCTTTATACACTCTATAAAAATGAGAGGGACAGGTGGGGGAATTGAAAAGAAAACCCTACATGACTGCTCTAGAAACACCATCTACATCATCGTGAAAACTCCTTCAGTCCAACAATAATTAACAAAAAGAAAACATCATCCACACAACTAGCCCTATGATGAAAGGGTATGTTTGATTTTGGATCAATTTGTTTATTTCAGGTTATCATACCTTGGATGATCTTCTTGACCAAATCCTGGTCTTTGTTTTGATGTTTCCATAATTTCAGCAGCTGGAAGGTCTGTTCTTGTGAGCTGTGCCGTCTTTTTATCCTCTCCACACTCTCTGCATTTACTTTGGTGCCAGGCAAATTGTCCACTAGGACACTGAGCCAGTTTGGGGTGAACTTGGTAGGAACAGCAAACCTGAAGAATGCCTCCTCACACAGGGTAACATCTAAAGGAAGGTGGGAAACCAAGATTTACTCAGCAATTGGATTCCTGGAAGTCTATTGGACAAAAACCAAAATTTAAAAACCAACATACTTGATTTTTTTAAAGTAAAATATGTACAATGAAAATTTTGAATTAAATCAACCTTCTGTTGGCTGGTCTAAGTGGTAGGAGTGTCAGGGAAAGGACACCAATCTGATTAGTGACATCACTGACATGGGATGCATTCAGATAATTTGTCCTTAATAAAAAGTTCAGGACAAGAGGAACTTGGAACTTCCATGTGATAGACACAGCATTACCATAGGTAACAAAGCCAATTTTACATTTCTAATGTGTAATCAATTACATCATTGTGCTTCTTAGTTGCCAGTTTATACTTTGGCTAATAATACAGGTATTTTTAAAAGTGATAAAAATGAATAGCAAAAAAATTCTGCAATTTGGACTCTGCTCATTGGGCCTCAGACATTATCTTTGTACCACCCTTTCTCCATGGGTAAAATTTGAGTCAGGTATAAAAGGAAAAAAATCAGGTTTAGAGCATGATCTATGAGAGATGAGGACTTTTTTGAAGGACTTTGAGTTGTGGCTTTAGCAATATGGACAGAATAGTCTTAGAAGAGCTGATTAAAATTCAAGAAAGGGCCAAAGCCGGTTTGGCTCAGTGGTAGAGCGTTGGTCTGTGGACTGAAAGGATCCAGGTTCGAGTCTGGGCAAGGGCATGTACATTGGTTGTGGACACATCCCCGGTAGGGGGTGTGCAAGAGGCAGCTGGTCGATGTTTCTCTCTCATCGACGTTTCTAGCTCTCTCTCTCCCTTCCTCTCTGTAAAAAATCAATAAAATATATTTAAAAAAATAAATTAAAAAAAAGAATTACACTATTAAAATTCAAGAAAGGGAAGGTATGAGTTTGACTAAGAAGGTGGCCAAAGGTGGTCTTGTACTCAACTCAGAGGTAGCATGAAGGCTGATATTCTGATTGATAATTACCTATTCCACATCTGCGTGTCATGTCACTGTTTCTGGAACATATATTGTCATGTGTTGCATTTCCTCTCTGCGTCAGAAGGAGACCAAATGCACTGCAGTTGGTGTGTTTTCTACAGGGTGCTTTAGCGGACGTCTCATTGGAGAAGAACCCATCTGGACATCTTTTGCAAACTGTATTTCGCTCTGGGGTTCCTACAGAAAATACCGAACCATTTAGCACCTTCTTCTCAAATACTTTCACAGCAGATGCCCTCTTAACAAAGTTTTAGAAAGACTTTTCACTTTGTTTTTAACTGCTATGTTGCTAAGATTTTACTATTAATACTGTACCAAACTTCAGGCATTCTCATTTTTCACTTCATTACACAGATAGAACAAAACTACAATGAGCCCCTTAGGCAGTCTCCCCTCCCAGTAATACAAACACAAGTTTGTTTTCTGTTACCTACAAAACACTTCCAATATATGAGAGGGAAGGAAACGTATGAGCTACAGAGTAGTCCTGTGTGAGCTACAATGGCATTAGGTCTCGTTGACCACATATTCTTCACACAATTATCCTGGAAAAGCATCAAGATAGCCCTTGTGTAATTGCTGTGATATCATTCTCCAAAAGCAGTACCCATTGACTGCTATGTCGTTAAATTCTAATCGGTAGCTATCAAGGTTCTTTCTTTCCTGAATCATAATTATGAAGCATCTCATAAGTATGCTAACCTTGAGAAGTAAAAATTTACAGCATTATAATAAACTCTTGAAGATGGCAATAAAGTTGGCCACTGACTTAAAAGCGTAAGTCTGCAGTTCAGCTACACAGTAAATGGAAGATGATATACTGTTTGCTTAAACTGTTGAGTTTTAAGAGTCTGGTTTTAAAATTTCAGGGAAGGGTGACTGCAAGGGCATCTTATTTCATGGTGGAAAAATACTTGACAAATTTGGAGAAATCACTGGTAAGCAAACTTGAATCAGTCAACTACTAAAGATGCTATTAGTTAAATACTTTCAAACCCTTGACTCTATCATTCATGAATATATCATACATTACAGTGCATTTGCATATGAAAATACCTCCATCTAGTGTAAGCTAGTTGAACAGATTTAGACTTCAATGTTCTAATGTGGCTTTTACAGGCCAGTTCTGGCTTATGCGAGATAACAAATGTGAAAGGGACAAATGAAGCTGTGGGAAGTTAATAAACTTCAGTTATTAAAAATTTTAACCTCCCACTTCGTTTCAAATCCACAGGTGGGGGAAAAGAGCAAAGCAGTTTGGTTCTCATTTTATCTCTTGCTTCTTCCAAAGGGATTAATGATGCAGGGACCAGTAAAAGTGATGAAGGGCTGGCAGAGAAAAAAGGAGGTGAGAAACTATAGGCAGAATACTTTCACATATTAAATGCCACCTCCAGCTTTGCAGTGGCAACATCTTAGGAACCAACTTACAAAGAAGGATACTTTTTTTTTAAGTACTTTCTTACTGTATTGCTCTTTTTAAATGGCATGCAACTCCACACCAAATTCTACGATATCCTAAGGGAAGGTATTTGGGCAGGGAGTCCATGGTATTCTTTCTTTCGTTGCTAATATTCTGGAAATAAGTGGACTTGGACACCTGGATCCAAGTCTCCCTTTGCCAACTGCCAAGTGTTCTGGAGAGCCAACTGCACAAAGAACAACGTGTCAGTCTTCACATACACATTGACGAGTTGGGTCTTCGCATGTATCTCAGTGAGAAAGTCATAGGTACAAACCTTCCTCTCAGGTAGCTTAGCCTTTAAAGTTCTTTAACAAAAGAAGTCCAAGGATGACAGACATAAAGTTTCTGAATGTCTTTGGAGGCTTTAAATAATGACCTTGCTGGATAGGACTTCCCTCTTTTATAATTGATAGAACTTTTTACAAAGAAAGATTTAGCCATCTGAGTAAAAAAAGTTTGCCTTATTAATACCAGTGGGAACATACAAAGTTTAATCAGCCAAGCCAATGCCAAATGTCATAATGATGAGAGGAGTTCTGTTCTGCTGTTGAGAATTTCACCATGCTGGCCCCTGGTACTGACATAGGAATTATAAGACTAACAGATAGAATGAAGTAAATAAAATTCAGAGATAATCTGACTTCGAAACAATGACAGAAAGGAAGGGTTAATAAATAGTCCTTAGAATAACACTGCATAATCCTTTCTTCTCTTTGGGCTGGAAACTCTTATTGTCCATGAGAGGTAAACAAGCCCACTGTGGTACTAACTAGCTCACTTCATTCTACAAACAAATTTCCATGCTTCTGTGAGAAAAAGGAAGGGTTAATAAATCCTTTCTATTTCTATTATTTATCAAATCTTTCTAATTTCCAAACTACCTAGTCCCTTATTTTTCTACATATTCAACATACTGAATTGAATTAAATGGATTTGTGTTTGTTGGATTGGCTTTTCCCTTCTACAACTTGGCTTAGCTTTTGAGTCCCAAAGTATCATCCAATAAAAACTAGGAAGTGTTACCAATTTCTCCCTCAAATACTCATACTAGAGGTACTTTAAGGAGCCATCATACAGTTTGTATCTTCTGTGATTAATTTTACAAGATTCACAACTTAGGAAACAATAGATTTAAATATTTGAATATGCTTGCTTTGTATTTGTCATCTAGTAATTTAAACTCTGTAAATCACAACTTTTGAAAGTTAAAATAGTTTCAAATGATTAGCTCATTTAAACCATTGGTTGTCAACCAGGGGCAATTCTACCATCAAGAGACCATTGGTAATGTCTGGAGACTTTGATTGTCACCATGGGGGGAGGGGCATCTAGAGACCAGGGATGCTGCTAAACACTCTAAAACACACAGGAGAGCTGCACATGGAAAGAATTACCCAGCCCTAACTATCAGTGGTGCAGAGGCTGAGAAATATGATTTCTAACTGAGTAATCAGAATTTGTACTGATTACTACTTCCTCCAAAAATTAAGTGAATTAATCTTCATTTTCCCAAGCTATGAGACTATACTGTAGATTCATGAATGTGATAGGAAGAAAAAAAAAGTGAGTTGCAGCTTTAAGAGATTCAGTGCACACTGGCCTTAACCTATGCTATTCAAAATGCAGAGAGAAAGTATTTTGTTTGTAGACAAGTACTTACTCTTGGCTTGACAATCTGTTTTGTCTAAGATAAAGAATAAGCTCATCGGTGAGAGACTGCTGCGGTCTTTATCCTCCCAGACACTCAACTCCCATGCCAAAGGAAGAACTAGCTTCATTTTTTATAATGAAATTCATTTCCCCTAGCCATTCTCATTTTTTGCATAATTAATTATAACTGCTCATTGTTAGCACTGCAGAGCCTCATCAATATCAGCATAATTACTCTCTTGGTATCAATTAAGATTTCTGATGTTTGTCAAAAAGCACCGCAGTTTGAAGCTGTCCGTGCTGAAGTAAAACATAGAGGTATCTATCAGCTATCAACGGTGCAACTCAGAGTGTGTCCCTTTAAAAGAGCAATCCATCATGCATCTCATTAGAGAGCAATTTGCTGCTTTTGAGATTTGTCACTAAATCGCCCTGGAGCAGCAGAATATTCCTCTGAGAAATGGTCGTTTGGCAGCCATCCAGACACACAGTACATATCTAGCAGGTTCCATTACCTTTGCAATTTGCTATCCTTAATATCATCAGACAAAAGTGTTCCCTTAAACTTCCCCTACTACTTGACTTTGTGCAATACTAATCACTTTGGTAGCGTGTTGGAAAGCTGATGCGTACCAACTTGCAGAACTCCAAAGCCAGGGGGGCAGCTCCTGTGCTTCAAGCAGAACTCCACCTCAAGGTAGCGCCCTTCCTCACATTCGCACACACGGTTGTGGGTGCGGTTGCACTCCTGCTTGACATACTGCAGCTCTTTGCATGCTGTGGTGCAGTACAGACACTCATCGCTGGTGTGCCAGGTGTTGGTGTAGTAGTTGTCGGGACAAGGGGCACACACAGTCTTCCGCCTTGCTGTACAGTGCTGCTTTAAGTAGGTACCAGGGGGACATTTGTCACACATCAGCTGGTGAGAGGTTTCTGGGTCATAGTGAAGGTACTTTGGGGGAAATATTTCTTGGGTGGTCCACTTAATGGAGATGTCCAGGAACTAGAAGAAAGGAAAGAGTGGCAATGTCAGCATGGAAATAGGCATCACAAAAATCAGAGTCCTTTATGAATGAACTTCCTACCTGCGGGGCCACAATTCTTGCCTCTATTCGCTTAATCTCAAAGACCAAGATGGTGATGGCAGCACATCTCTATTAAGTAAATCCAGCTCATAGATCACCGGAGTAGAAGGCTTATCAGAATAGAAACTATTACAACTAGCTGTATCACTAAATAATCCCCGTGGCCTCAAAGACACTGTATCTCCCTAGCCATCATGATTTTCTCTCGATGATTGAGTTGGATGGACTAGTGGTTCTCAGAAGAGCATACCACACCTCTTCTAAGACTTAGTTATTCCAAACATATAGTAAGTAAAGAAGTGGAGAAGCACAAATGTTTGTATCATGATATCAACAGTCAACATTCATTCATTCCACGTATATGCATTGAATCCCAACCAGGAATGTTCCAGGGAGATGCTGATGAGTAGACATGGTCCCTGTCCCCATGGAGCTTGCAATCCACTGGAAAGAGTCCTAGAATTTTAAGACTGATGTTTTCCTCTAGAACATCAATGGCCCAGTCTTGACTGTCACAGGTCAATTGTGTGTCTAGAAAACTAAATGACTACCTCTCATCTGGGAAAAACTTCAGAGAGTAGGTAGGGTTTCATAAGTATCTATACACATGGCAGGAAGAATTCTGTGCAGCAAAAAAAGAGGATTTTTCAAGCTTGGAAGGGCAGCTCCAACTAACCAGTCCATCTTGTATTTTAGACCTCACAGGATCTTCTAGGGAACATTGACATAGCTCAGAAGAAACAGTGTTCTTTGTATGCCAGGGATGGTTTGTTTGCTTTTTATTATTTGTTTTTGGAAAAGGGATCAACCCTGACCATTTTCATGCTTTTGGGAGGTGGCAGGCCAAATACAATAAATTTTTCCAAACTCTTTTTTGCAGAACTCAGGAAATGTCACAGAAACCCTTTGACCCAGGAAAAGCCACGCTGAGGAAACAGCACTCTCTGTGGAATTAGAATAACAAAGGTAAAGAATGGCCTCTTATTTATATAAGTATTTGGGCATCTGAATCATTTCATTCACTTCTTATTGCAACACAATAAGCATCTGGGCTGACTGGACCTCATAGCAGCGGATAAACCAGAAGAAGAGAACAAAGTATCTCACGTAGGGCCATGCGCCTTTTATCCAAGAGAAACGTTCAGAATGAACATTAAGGACTCCTAACCAACAAAACAAGAAGTACAGTGCAAAATGGGGGTGACACCTCATAACCTGAGGTTTACTGAGGAAAATGTTCTTAAGTTTTCCCTCCCTCCCTCCCTCCCTCCCTCCCTCCCTCCCTCCCTCCCTCCCTCCCTCCCTCCCTCCCTCCTTCCTTCCTCTCTTTATTTTAAATTTAAAAATTTTTAACATTGACACTATTGTACTAGATGTCCCCAATCCCAACCCCTCCCATTTTGTCCACCTCTACAGCCCCGGCTCCCCCTCCCTTGGCCTTCAGCACCAGTTGTCCAAGTCCATGGAGTATGCACATATGTTCTTTAGCTAATCCTTTCATCTCTCTACTCAGTCACCTCCCAACCCCCACCCCCTTCCCCACCTCTCCTCTGGCACCTGCCAGTCTGTTCCATGTATCCATGCTTCCAGTTCTATTTTGTTCATCATCTTATTTTGTTTATTAGAGTCCACATATCAGTGACATTAGTGAAATCAGATCGTATTTGTCTTTCTCTAAAGATCTTATTTTGCTTAGCATAATGCTCTTCAGGTCCATCTATGCTGTTTCAAGAGATAAGTTCCTTTTTTTTCTTGGCTCATTTGGAGTGGGTGGACATTAGAAGAAAGAAATGAACCAGAACCATGTGAAAGTACTGGTTTGCTCCTAATCTTTCAGAAATAGATGAAATCTATTCATTCAACACACATTGACTGAAAACCCACAGAACACCAGGCACTGTAGAAGAAAGGAACATAGCATATGGTAATGCACAAAACTAAGATGGTCTGTGCCTTCAGGAGCTCATACTCTAGCTAGGAGGCATACAGCAGAGGAGAAATAAATAGTTACAAATAATGATCAGTTTTAAAAGAAACAAAGCAAGATGAATGACTCTGTTGCTTCTTGATCATTTGAATATGTTCTATAACATATGGCTATGCCTTCTTTCAAGGTCCATTGTGTAGGTTGGACTCAAATATTTCTAAAATACTCAATGTTAGGAAATAAAATTTTCCTGGTGCAACTTGCAAAGACAAGGCAAGCAATGAGAGATGCTTTATTATCTTGCTGTTCACTGCTGAAGGATCTGTTTCTTTCTTGCAACTACTGCTGAGTGAGGCCCATCCTGGTGGGGCTGGCAGTTCTGATACCTTCCCCAAACCAGCTTCCCTTTATTCCCCCTTTCCCATTTAAGCACAGTGGTTCAGTTGTGCCCACTTACTCAGTGCCTACTCTCCTCCCTCACCAAGAAGTGATGAGGATGGGAGGGGAAAACCCCACAGATGGTGTCTGTGATCCTCACTGGAAGGAGCCACATAAAGATCAGACCAAGAATGCTGACTCAATTTGCATTTTTCTAGGCAATTGGACATGACACTATTGGTTTCCTGAAGCCATGCTTTGGAAATTAGTTACCATTTCTTCAAAATACAGAGAAGTTGAGGTAAAAGGAATCCACAGCGAAAAAGATAAATAAGTTTGACTTAAGAATTTGAAAGCAATTGTATCATTGAAGGCAGTTTCTCTAAGGCTACTAAATAGTATTATCCTATATATTAAAAAAAAAAAATAGGAAAGCCTGGAGGGACTGCAGACTTGTTTTCAGTAAGTTGCATGGGGACTCTGTGTTTCATTTGAAAAATTTCCACTTTGGTAAAACACAGAACTCTGTGTGGCCAAAATTGGATGTTTAGGTCTCAGACTCTGGTTAGCCCCAATTCCCACATAAAATTTCTGGAGCCAGTTACTGTACAGAGGACGGGGAAGGTTAATAGAATGCTTCAACAGTCCTCTCTCTTACTTTCTTTTGCATTTCCCGGAAATACAGTGGAAAAGATGCCCTTGGAAGACAGGCTGTCTTAACATTGCCTTTATCCCCTTTGCCAGCTGATAGTTCTGATAAGAGTTCCAAAAAATTTTCCTGTGTGAATTGCATAATCACAGAGGAGCACCTGCAAAAGCCAGGACATGTGCATAGGTGTGTAATAACAATTAGCAGAGGCATAATTCAAACCCAGAGCATGGGGCACAGAATACTATTTTTTTTTTTTTTTGCCCAAATCCTTTAACATTTACCAAATGTTCTCACACATGCTATAGCCTTCATGCAGTCCAAAAGTAGCCCTCAGGTGCTAATGTTTTATGTAGACTCAAGAGCATAGACTTAGGAGATGATGAAAGTTAGAAGACCAACCAAAATCTTTCTAAAGTCCTTGACTTTTCTTTCTTGGTGCTAAGACTAGCTTTTGTCCAAAGCTACTGAGAAGGACAGTTCTCAGATGACAAGTAACTTGACTATAACACACTCCTGGTACATGCTTCTTCATAAAGCACAAGAGGAGAATACACTTCCTCCAGCAAGTTTGTTTTTTTATGATGCAATGCAGCCAACCCCATACTTCTGGGCTTGCCCTCTAGTATGTAGAACCGTGAGTGACCCAGTGGGTTTCCATTTATGGAAAATTCATTAAAAGAGCCCACGGAAAGCTTGAAATAACTACTTGGTTTGGGAGTTCCTTTTGTGATCCCTCGTCATGATCTTTGCCGCAGAAAACTATTTGAGGACCATCCAGAGTTAGATAAACTTCTGGTCAGTTGGGAAACCATGCCATTTTATAGTTCATCTTGGCAAAAAACAAAACAAAAAAACCCCAAAACATTCAGGATATATAGCATGGTGAGTTTCCTAAAGAGCTCTTGCAGTATGAACTATAAAGCTTATTTTTAAAAAAACAACCCCCCCCCCAATATCTTATATCAAAGCCTCCTGCAAAATAGAATGGAACATTTTAATGAGTTTATGAGATAAAGCAATGTTTGTTGTGAGTAGCTTTGGGCTATATTTATAGGACTTTATTCATTCACTCATTCATTCTTTACTTTTCATTTCTTTGATAAATATGCAGAGAGTGCCTAAAAACACACACACAGAGAAAGAACTGTTTGTCCTCTGGAGGTTAGTTTATTTGATTTTCTACAGTCTAGTGTGTAGTGGCTCCATTGTAATTTCCGCCATTCTTTAAATAACTCATTTAATTCAGCAAACACTTATTGAAACAATTACTATGCTTTAGAAATACTGCTAAGCAATGGAGTTGAATAAGTTAATGTTTCTGTTTCATAGGAACATTCATCTAAAAGTCCAACCTGATGTTAAATACTCATAAATCACTGCAAAAACAGTTGGTTGCAGAAGGAAAGAGAAAGGAAATCAAGAAAAGACTCAACAGAGAAACAGGTCAGAAATGAGGAGGGGCTGATGTGAAACACTAGTAATGGAGGAAAGAAAGGAGAGATGATCTGTTGGCTGACTGCATGGGGAAGAGGAACTAAAATGAGCAATTGAATATCATGGCCACAAATTCTAACCATTAGGTATGTGGTATTGCTGTTAATTAGTGACAGAAGAAGGAGGAGACAGTTATGGAGAATGGCAATGAATTTAGTTTGGAACATCTTTCATCCATGAGACTCAAATGGACATATATACTGGGAATTCAGGACATAAATGCAGCTAAGACACAGCTTTTGGGGTTATAATCATGTAAATGAGTCTAGAGGCAAAAAAAAAAATCATATGGCATTACCCAAGGATATTATATACAAGCAAAAAGAACAAAAATGTTAACCCTTGGGACTCATAAATATTTGCAAGATCAGGTAAAAAAAGATAATGTTAAAAAAAAAAAAGTAGGGATATCACAGAGTTTCAAAAATGTTAAAGGAATAATGAATAATCTAAAAAGTGCATGGCAT